TAATTTACAGATAATCCACTAAACTTTCTGATTTTCACAACTAATCTCATATGGAACAGGAATGGCTAGAAAAGAGAGAGCACTATCTAATAATTGCCCACATTGCAAATGGGCTGATAAGTCATTATTAATTAAAAATCTAAAGGTACTAAAGTCCCCAAACAACTGTACCTAGGAGGTTATCCGTCTCTTCTTGAGTCAACTATCGTAAGTACAGCTGGGAAAATAATGAATTTTGCTTCAGTGGCAATAGAAATATTATATGGATTATTAATTAGTATTAATTAGCATTGTTGCTATTATTTCAGGACAAACCAAGAAGTAAGTTTGCTGACATTTTCAGTTAACTATTTTTATTTTTTTGACATTTTTGATGGAAACAATTAGGCAAAATTAATGTTAATTCACAAAATGTTTAGGTGTCTCTCAATCTTCATTTCTCATCAAAAAGTTTCAGTCTAAAAGTTTCACTACGCTCTAGTCATAACAGAAGACAACCATCATCCACCCAAGAGACTAGTACCCCCACTTTGGGATATTAGCAAATTATATAAAAAACAATGGTGACTTCAGTTTGACAATAAAAAGTCTTTGTGTATTTTATGTATATTACCTCTTATTGAACTTTCTATATGATTTTTATATATAATTTTTTCCTAACTTTAAAAGTTGGTTAGAGAAGGGTACAATCCTTTAGTCCAGATTTACATGTGTAACAGAAACTTTCCAAGAACTAAATTCCTTTGAAAACATAAAATTGATACGGTAGCACATTATATATCCAATTACAAATATATTAAAAAGTTTCAGGTGTTCCAACTCAACTCCCTCCCTTTCCCTTTTTCTTCCCATCACTACACAATTTTACTACATAAGTTGTCTGTGAAGGAAACACAGTTCAAAGGAACACAAAACAAAAAGGATATGCCAGTCTATGGACAGTCTGAGTTCAATAGGAAAAATAGTATTAATATAGCTGAATAATAAAATTAGTGCTCAGAAAAAGTGACTCTTGGACCTAATATTTCCTTCTTTACTCATAGATACATAACTTTGGGATGGTAGTGCATGGGAGACTCAAATACAAATCCTGGTAGATATCCATGTTTTATTTATGCTGTAAACCCCCTTCTCATTGGGACAAAGTACAAAGACAGTACAGTCTTGAATCATTTCAAACAAATTAGAGAAACATGGCAAAACCTTTAAAAAGTCCAATATAAAATGGCTGTATGATATGTCAGAAATAAATCTCTGTAAACTCTTTTCCATACATACTCATTATTTGCATCAAAGTGCTGGTATGGCTTTCTGCTCAATCTTTAGTGATTTTCTCTAGAAAATATTTTTTTTTCCTTCTCTTACATGATAACTGAAAGAAAATATAATGAGATTAAAGGAATCTTTCCACAAGGTTCTCTCACTCCTCTAGGAACAGTCACAAATAATAAATAAGATAAATATTAAAATGGGAAAAATAATGTACGAGCAATTGAAAAGATGACTTTTTTGTGCTGAGCTGCACATGATTAAACATGATAATGAAAGCTTAGTTCTACCTCCACCTATATCCCCTATTAGTAGAACAAATATCTGGAGGGTGATGTATTTTCACATGAATGGACAATAAAGATTTGCACATATCATTTAGTCTGATCAGGAGATGTTGATCTGACAAATAAAAAAAAAGAAAAGAAAGTGACTGAAGTGTTTTGTTTGAGGAGGTGTGGACTATAGAGCTGAAACACCCATTTCTTTCTGTATATAAAACTGCTTTCTGAGCTACCCTATTCTATTTCATCTACTTGTTACACTAGATCAGAGCAAACAGAACACCATGGCTTTTTCTATTCGTACAGGGGGAGGATCACGGCAATTTTCATCCCGGAGTGGTCTTAGTGGGGGATCTGTAAGAGTATCTAGTTCCAGTGGTGGAGGAAGCTTTGGTGGGGGATCTGGTGGAGGCTTTGGTGTTGCTTCTCTGCTTGGTTCTAGTTCTGGATTTGGTGGAGGTCTTGGCAACAGCATGGGGGGAGGCTTTGGAGGTGGCTTTGGTAGCAGCTTAGGAGCTGGTTTTGGAGGTGGCTTTGGTGCTGGTAGTGGTGGTGATGGTGGCCTTCTTTCTGGCACGGAAAAGGAAACCATGCAAAACCTGAATGACCGTCTGGCTGTCTACTTGAACAAAGTACATTCTCTGGAGGAGGCCAATACTGAACTAGAGTGTAAAATCCGTGAATGGTATGAAAAAAATGGTCCTGGTGCTAGTGGCCCTGGAGCTGGCCATGATTATGGTAAATATTACCCAATAATTGAAGACCTCAGGAATAAGGTAAAAAAATCACCGAACTGTTCCATTTTTTTACAATCTAAACTCACCGAATATTGTCCTAGGCAAAAATTACAATAGTTTTGAGAAACTAAAAGCAAATTTTCTCTAAGATACTGTTATTTGTAACGGTCTTCTATCACATGAATATTTTTGTTGTAATGCAGATGAAACAAATGTATTGAAATTGTGTAGCTATTAATGATGTGAACTCACCTGACCTCATTTGAATTAAAGAGAAGGTAGAGATAAAATTAACTAATGTTAACTTAGATAATTATTTTTCTTCAAAAAAATTTTTAAAAGGTTTTCGTGTTCATACTGCTTGCACCTCAATTCAATTTCTGCAATAAAGAGATTAACTGAAATTCTAATGCTAATTTATATTCACTGATATAAATTGGTGTTGCTTACTTACAATAACAGAGAGTCTGGTCCTAAATATTTTAGTTATATATTGTACAAGAGTCTAATGAATGTCTCTTACATTATTATATTACTAATGTTGAACAGTAAGGCCATCAGGTTACAGAATCACTATCCGGGCATCCTGCTTGTCTTTCCAGATAATTAATGCCACTATTGACAACGCCAGGATCGTTTTGCAGATTGATAATGCAAGACTGGCTGCTGATGACTTCAGACTGAAGTAGGTAGCAAGTACTATTATGCAATCTATTATGAATCCTATTACTAAGCTTTTATTTAAAAATGCCAAATAAATCCAGAACATTTTAGATATTTTTCTTAGAAAATGTATATGAAGTATAACTGTTCAACTGAATAGCAGTCATAGTCATAATACATTGTTTTTGAATTAGTAGTACATGATGCAACTGTTTAAAAGCCGGTTTATGATTTTCTAAAGGTATGAGAATGAAGCAGCTCTTCGGCAGAGTGTGGAGGCTGATATCAATGGTCTCCGTAGAGTTCTGGATGAGCTGACTTTGACCAGAACTGATCTAGAGATGCAAATAGAAGGCCTGAATGAGGAACTGGCTTACCTCAAGAAGAACCATGAGGAGGTAGACAGAGTGTTTGCTTCTGGACTGCAGTGTTCTCATAAAAAGACTCATAGTAAAACACAATATATACTACAAAAAAAGATGAGATGTGCAATGTCAGTCATTTCTCTGATTTTTTCAGCGTGGTAATGAGTCCTTTTTGCTGTTGGGTTTGTTTTCAGTTTAATCAAGGAATTGGGGGATAAAGGGACACAGAAAAAATCAAAAATACAAGCTGTTTGCTCTTAATGGTGCTAGTATTACAGGATTTCTCAGATTCCCTGCAATTGTCCCAAGAATATATGCTTTGTGTAAGGCCCCTGTGGGAAGGTACAATAGAAAGGCCAAGATGGGTGTGGTGAAGAAACAACAGACTACTTTATTGAAAAAGGATTAAATAGGCTTGGATCTGCCAATGTAATAATGGGGGAAACTTCAGACTTCACCTTTTAAAGCAAGAGAGCGTTAAGATACACTAGCATGTTACATTCTGTTCAGGTTTTGGTTTTGTAAAGTTCAATTATTAACCTTTAGACTTTGGGTAAGCAGCAACATGTTTTCTTTCTAGCTGCTTGAGAATTTCTGGGTTTGTTCTGAAAATGTACAGGGCTCTGAATTGCCAGCATATTTGCTTTTGTTAGCGTGCAGTACATTTTAAACTCTTGCTATCACTTCATCACAACAGCTCTTAGTTTTTTGTCAGTCTATTCAGTGATGAATGAAATGAAACTGGGTCGCAAGACCTTTTCATAGGTTTTTTTTTCAAAATATCATGAAAATCAACCAAATGTGTTATTCTGATGCAATTGATGTTTACATGTATTTTCAACAGATGTAGCAAAACTGGATAACTTAGATAGGGCCACAATAAGGTGGGTGCATAATTGGCTGGATAACCGTAGTCAGAGAGTTGTTGTTAACGGTTCTAAATCCTGCTGGAAAGGGATAACAAGTGGAGTTCCTCAAGGGTCTGTTTTGGGACCCGGACTGTTCAATATCTTCATCAATGATGTAGATATTGGGATAGAGAGTACGCTTATTAAGTTTGCAGATGATACCAAACTGGGTGGGGTTGCAACTTCTTTGGAGGATAGGGACATAATTCAAAACGACCTTAGCAAGTTAGAGAAATGGTCAGAGGTAAACAGGATGAGGTTTAATAAAGAGAAATGCAAAGTGCTCCACTTAGGAAGGAACAATCAGTTCCATACATACAAGATGGGAAGCGACTATCTAAGAAGGAGCATAGCGGAAAGGGATCTAGGGGTCATAGTGGACCACAAGTTGAATATGAGTCAACAGTGTGATGCTGTTGCAAAAAAAGCAAATATGATTCTAGGTTGTATCAACAGGTGTGTTGTAAGCAAAACTCGTGAAGTCATTCTGCCGCTCTACTCTGCACTAGTTAGGCCTCAGCTGGAGTACTGTGTCCAGTTCTGGGCACCACATTTCAAGAAAGATGTGGAGAAATTGGAAAGGGTACAGAGAAGAGCAACATGTTTAGTTTAGAAAAGAGAAGACTGAGAGGGGACATGATAGTGGTTTTCAAGTATCTAAGAGGATGTTATAAGGAGGAAGGAGAAAATTTGTTCCTCTTGGTTTCTGAGGACAGGACAAGGAGTAATGGGCTTAAAGTGCAGCAGGGGAGGTTTAGATTGGACATTAGGAAAAAATTCCTAACTGTCAGGGTGGTCAAATATTGGAATAAATTGCCAAGGGAGGTGGTGGAATCTCCCTCTCTGGAGATATTTAAGAACAGGTTAGATAGACATCTGTCAGGGATGGTGTAGACGGAGCTTGGTCCTGCCTTGAGGGCAGGGGGCTGGACTCAATGACCTCTTGAGATCCCTTCCAGTCCTATTATTCTATGATTCTATGGATCAAATATTTTTAAATGTATGACAAATATTTTTCCACTAAGGATAAATTTTCTCTCAAGTTGAAAGCTAATACAGAAATGAACCAGAGGAACCTGTGAAGTCAATGAAACCAGTACTCTATATTTCTTTCCCTTTAATGATTTTTTTTCCTAATAGCCTAGGGCACTGGGTGGGGAAGAAATGACTTCTGAGTATTTCTGATCTATCTAAAGTGTTGCAAAAACTGAAATGGCAAGATTGTTGATATGCATTGCATGGGTTGCTGTGATACAACGAAAAGATATTCATATTTAAAACAGAGTAAATGTAACAGTACAGATAGTAGCAGATAGGATTGCACTAGGAAGATTTAATATTGAAGGGACCTTGAATTATACACTTTTCTTTATAATAATTTAGAGCTAATCATTTTGTTCATTATTATACTGAAATACCTTTACTTCCGTTTATTCTAGGAGCTTCAAAGTTTCCAAGGTAATGCCACCGGCCAAGTTAGTGTTGAAATGGATGCTGCTCCAGGAATTGATCTGACCAAGATTCTGAATGATATGAGAGGACAGTATGAAGTCATTGCTGAACAGAACCGTAAAGAGGCTGAAGCATGGTTCAGTGAAAAAGTAAACATCTTCAAGATAATCAATTCAGCCAAACACATTTAAATATAGGAAAAAATATTTGTTGTCGCTGATTTACATTTTATTTTTCCTTGACATTTCAGAGCATGGAACTCAAAAGGGAAATTTCCACCAACACTGAACAGCTTCAGTCAGGAAAAAGTGAAATCACAGATTTAAGACGCATTCTCCAGGGCCTGGAAATTGAACTACAGTCTCAACTTTCCATGGTATGCTGATAGAATAACAATCATAAACTACACAGTACCTTTTCCAATTTCAGATATACTACTGTTTAAAATTAACATTTAATTATTCCAGGTATTCTTTTTAGTCCATAAACTGCAATAATAGCTGGAATACCTGCATGGCAAATACATCATTATGATTGGGAACTGCAAAAAACAGGATTATATCTACTATATATTTTGAAGAGTTTGTGTATTTGTTTGTACAAAATAAATTCATACTTCGTGATTACCTACAAATAACAATATTTGCATAAACCTGCCACTTAAATTAGCTGAATGCACTACTTTTTCACTGGAATATTCTGGGTGAAAGGTTTAAAACAGTGTTTCTCAAACTGTGAACTGCAGCCAGTGAAAGCTACGAGGTTCCATGGCTGCAAAGCCTGTAAGTAAACAAACCAGAGCATCCAGTAGCAGCTTTCTCAGAGTGGGTCCACGGACCACTTTGAGAAACACTGGTTTAAATATTTATTTTTGCTTTTCATTGGAAAAAAGTCATGACTATTATAATTAGAGTTCATAAAATATTTACTAACAAAATTAAAACAGGATCACCTATTCAACTGTCATTTTAGTGCAAAGAACATTTTTACTGTTACAAATCACAAAATAATTCAAATTAGTTACAGAAAGAATAACTGAAGTTTCTGATTCAAATGTACTATGTATGGTAATTATTCAGCTAAATGAATAATGTTTGAAGTTGAAATCCTACACATTTAAAACTGCTGTTTTACTTCCCTTTTGCAAGCACATTAATAACAAATTATATTACATATATTTAATTTTTTAAACGTTCCTATAAGTGTAATCTATGCAAAATGGCTTTTCCTGGACAATGATGGGCCTCAGCTGATAGTATTTAATACGAAACAAAAGGCAAGAATTTCATTATAAGAAGAAATTTTTAAATGTGTTGTTACATATATAGAGAAATAGTACCACTTCTTTCCAACATTTTAGCCCACTTTTTTCTTAATTCATTAATGGGTTTCTTCTCTCTAGTCATAGATTGCATTTACTTAATAATATATCTTTTTATGTAGAAAAAATCCCTTGAAGACACACTGGCAGAAACAGAAGCAAGTTACTGTGCTCAACTCTCCCAAATTCAACTTCAGATTGGGAATTTGGAGAGCCAACTTTTCCAGGTCAGGGCTGATATGGAGCGCCAGAATGCAGAGTATCAGCAGCTCTTGAACATCAAGACACGGCTGGAAATGGAGATTGAGACCTACCGCCGCCTGCTAGATGGAGAGTTTGGGTAAGCAAAGATCTGAACATGAAAATTCCCATTTTACTCATTCCCATGGTGAATCCAAAGTGATTTCCCCCAATATTTCAATGCAAATTCAAAGGAAATAAAATTGGTAGAGAATGGTAGTCCACAACAGAAAGTAAGGCCTATGACACACACAGATTTCAAAAGTACATTTGTTGATTGTAAAGACAGTCTACATCTGTGTGATAGCCTGAATTAGAGACACATGCAATTTCAGGGCTTAACGAAGGTATGACAGAATTAAACTTGTAAAAGTAATGAGACTGTTTACACAAAATTTCATTCAAATATTGTTATTTGGTTTTGGACCATTTTATGCCAGAAACTGATATTTTTCACATAATTCCTGTAAATTTACCAAACTAATGACTTTTTGGAAAATTTTAAAGAAAATTCTGAAGTAGATGAGTCATATATGTTTTTTAGGTTACATAATTTGGCCTTTTCAATGAATATGTATTGTGACTTGGTAAGAATTGATCTGGCAATTGTACTGACTAATCAAAGAAGGATAATATAACAACTTTTCTTTAAGTAAAGTTCTCACCCATGATGCTTATGATTTCAGTATTTTAAAACAAGAAGAAATAAGATTATTTCTTATCGTTCCTGATTCATGCAGGATTAAAAAAAACAAACAACATTTACTGTTCTATACTCCTGATCCTGACAACTATTATGTAACATTGTATATGTGTGATTTCTTTGCAGAAGTGCATTTACTGGGGGACAAGGAGGTTCATTTGAAAGTTCATCATTGACAAGTTCCAAATCACAAACACAATCGCTGGATTCTTCTAATGGTGGGTTGAATCTCCTGAGATAACATTTATTGTTAAAAGTTTTTTTCAGAGGAGCAAATATCAATTAAAATGATTTTATAAAACAAATGCTATAGCTAAATTAATAAATGTCATTCTGTTCTACTACTCTGTAAAGTTCATCATGGCAAGAAACTTTAATCTTTAATTTTAAAGGATTAAGGGCATAACAAGTTATCCTGTGTAGATTGTCTTGCTTTAGAACTTTAATTGATGAAATCTCATGTCAATGTTAACATATGAAGATTCAGCAAACATGTATATGGGAGGTCAGACAAATGTAGGACACAAACACAGTTATATGGGGGACAGAAAAGATTGTTCTTGATTGCAGGCTGCTGTATCTTTGTTTTGTGATGACTGTGTTTTCACAAAAGCTATTAATGTGCCTTGCTTCGAAATGGTAAATGGTTAACATGACAAATTTTCCTCTCTCTTGCTCTGTCATAGGCTATTGCTTCCTAGTTGCTGGGATCAACCCAACATTTCAAGTTTGATTTCAGTGTGCCTTTATATTGTTTGTTCTGGCTACTATGAAAACAAGTGACTTGCTTTAGCTGACTATAACATATGGCCTTGGATTTTCTCAAGTTTACCATGTGAACGAGTTCAAAGCTGAAACGAACCTTTGAATGCCAGACATCCAACAATGATTAAGGAATTTAATGTTAGGAATCCTGTCACACAATCTGACCCTGCAAACAGACCAAAGACAGAGAATATGTAACTGATCAAGTTTTTTAATGTGGTGACAATATGGTGTCTATGTCTCACAAGCATACAAAAGCACTGTAAGCACAACTGCACAGAAGACATTTATCTTAGTGCTTATTTTGACATCCTTCGCATTCCTTAGGCAGCATTCCAATTTCCATTCTGAATTTGGAGGTTTTTAAAATAATCTTAATACTTTCATAAATTAATTGTTTTTTTGTTTTTATTAATTTATAGATCCAACCAAAACCAGAAAGATCAAAACAATCATTGAAGAGGTGGTGGATGGTAAAATTGTCTCATCCCAAGTACAGGAAGTTGAAGAGAAGATATAAGCAACAGCATGTGCATTATATTGTTTCTTTGACAAGCATCCCAATAAAGAGATATAACTTTGAGAGAGCATATTCTTTTGTCAGAAGTGATGAATACAATTTGCCTTCTTTTTCTTTTGATTTCTTTTACACAAAACAAAAATACATTTATGATCCTCTAAAGTTTGATAATGAAATAAACATAAAAAGTTTCAAATTATACTTGCCTTTATTGCTTTCAAAATATAGTCACAATTCAAATCCAGCTATTGTAGTACTGTAGTGTTAAAAGATAACTGAAAAAAACAGATTTCTAGTGTCCAAGTTAAATTTTCAGTTTTTTATTATACCATAGGCTTTTTATCTGTAATTTTGAGAAGTGAAAAATCAATATAAATTACTCTTCTATTCTTAATTCCATATACAGTTTTTAGCCAATAAAAAAGGAATAAACAAACCTTTAAAATGAGTACTCTTTAAGAGGTGCTATCAAAACTTTAGAACTGTCATTATCAAACATAATTTTTTTCTGTTCAGTACCTTGCTTAATCATACAATTTATATGTGAATGACAGTAATTTTAATGCTCATTTAAGGAAGTGTTTGCCGCGCGGCACGGGGTCCGACCTAGCCGGCATTTAAAAATGGCGCCGGCGGGCTTTATGCAAATGAAGCCTGGGAAATTCAAATCCCAGGCTTCATTTGCAACTCCGTATGACTACATTACCCCCCCTAGTTCAAACTAGGGGGATAGTGTAGACATACCCATTAGAATTAGCGCATCTAGACTTAAAAACTAGTTCAAATTAGCATTTTGCTAATTCTAACTAGCATGTCCACACTGAGTGTGCCCTGAACCAAGGTTAAGGATGGCCGGAAGCAGTGCCAGCAGGGCATCAGATTAGGACTCAGAGCATGGAGCTGCTGTCTCAGGCTAGCCGAGGGCTGTGCTTAAAGGGACCGGACCCCCACCCCGGACAGACAGTTCCCACACTTGGCACATCACAGCACTCGGCCATCAGCCCGGCTGCACTTGCTGCAGGCTGGCATCCGGGGGGGGGGGGAATGGATGGCCGGAAGCAGTGCCAGCAGGGCATCAGATTAGGACTCAGAGCATGGAGCTGCTGTCTCAGGCTAGCCGAGGGCTGTGCTTAAAGGGACCGGACCCCCACCCCGGACAGACAGTTCCCACACTTGGCACATCACAGCACTCGGCCATCAGCCCGGCTGCACTTGCTGCAGGCTGGCATCCGGGGGGGGGGGGAATCAAGGGGCTTCAGGAGAGCTTCCACCCCGAGGAGCCCGCAGAGCCAGCCCAGTCCTCCCCATCGGGGGCTCGTACCCCATTCCTCCCTCACCTCCTTCCACTTACCTCTCCCTAGCCCCCCTTCCTGATGTACAAAATAAAGGACAATTGTGTTCAAAAATAGAATCTCTCTTTATTGAACAAAACTCGGGGAGACTGGGAAAAGAAGGTGGGTGAGGGGAGGGCAACTAAAATGATGAGGGGTTTGGAACAGGTCCCATATGAAGAGAGGCTAAAGAGACTGGGACTTTTCAGCTTAGAAAAGAGCAGACTGAGGGGGGATATGATAGAGGTTTATAAAAGCATGAGTGGTGTGGAGAGGGTGCATAAAGAAAAGTTCTTCATTAGTTCCCATAATAGAAGGACTAGAGGACACCAAAGGAAAGGAATGGGTAGCAGGCTTCAAACAACAGAAAGTTCTTCTTCACAAAGCAAATAGTCAACCTGTAGAACTCCTTGCTGCAGGAGGCTGTGAAGGCTAGAACTAGAACAGAGTTTAAAGAGAAGTTAGATAAATTCATGGAGGTTGGGTCCATGGAGTGGTATTAGCCAGGGGGTAGGAGTGGTGTCCCTTCCCAAAATTTATGGAAGGCTGGAGAGGGATGGCACGAGACAAATGGCTATGTCACTGTCTTCGGTCCATCCCCTCCAAGGTCCCTAGGGTTGGCCACTCTCGGCAGACAGGCTACTGGGCTAGATGGACCTTTGGTCTGACCCAGTATGGCCATTCTAAGCTCAGGGCTCAGGGTCGGGGGTCTCAGTGGACTACCTTGATTTTCATGC